GTTCATGCAATGCCGTCCATAGATATAATGTTATTTATATGTGTAAAATCACTATGTCAATGTGTTTATTACTGGATTAACGGGACCAGCTCATGATATTGGCCGATTTTGATCAACTCAATTTGTCGATAGGGACATATAGTTTGTTTTAATACACATTCTAATTGCACAATTTACTGACAGGTAACGATGTTCCCCATTTAATGAAAAGAAACTAATCAGATAGATTTCTATGAGTTAGTCAATGTTTATCGTATAAACACTAAAACAAATACTGAATTTAAAAATTACAGTTTATAATTTTCATTAAATACTTTATATCCCTCACTTACACTAATGTGTACTATATTTGTGAGCCAAACATTTGAAGGATATTAAAAACGTGTGAGAGTTTGACTTCTTGGTTGAGTCTGTTTAAATTCTTTAAATATTTTTAATTAAAACAATTTAAATTTTGAATATGCTGTATATAAATATGCAATTTCAACATAAACTAGCAATAGATAATTATTGTATGTTAAGCATTATATAATATGGTGATGGTATATTAGCAACTTTATTACTATACATAATAAAATTATATCCTGTTATAAAAACATTAATAACATAATATTAAAGTGATATTGATAGTTTTTGGTTTAATAAAACTGTCGCATTCAATATTAATTTGAGATAAAGCTATGAAATAGAAATTAATCTGCTTAATACTATATAATATATCTTTATATTTACAGCCTATTAAAACTAACCCAAAAGTTGCATATAACATATGATATAAGGTACAGAGATTGAGTTATGAATACTTTGGGCAATTTCAAAGTATTATATAAATTTTATTATTTATTAAAATGAAACTCTAATTCTTATTATTAATTCCCTATTTATGTGTGTATTAATATAAGGTATCAAATTATATGATTAAAACTATCTTGATAGTATTTTTTTGAATATTACTAGAGTCATTCCATTTCAGACCTTTTAGCCTATAATTTAAGTTCTATTTAAACCATACATTTTATTATTTTAATTTACAGTTCATTTATACTCCCACTTTAAAGCGTTAAATTGATATATTTTAAAGTCGAATTTTCGAGATCAGTTTGCATAATTTTTATAGTCCCACCCATGTTATTGATAAAGTCATAGTCAAGGAACTGGTGGTCTAAAATCTGCGCCTATCGATAGGTCCGTTTTTATTCAAAAGAAATCGTATGGATTTGAATCTAAAGGACGTCGACATAAATGAGTTAACCGGAAACATTAAAGACCCTGAACCGAAAACCCAATAAGTGCTATCAGAGTTTCCTTCAATAGTAAAAGTAGTGGAAAACCGGGGGAGAATAGGGGGAGTAATTCAAAAATCGAATCAACCCTTACATTTTTAAACACCTCCCGGGTTTTCTTACTAGTCTTACTACTGATGCAAACCATGAAAGTAATTGAACTGGATTTATTAATACTTTGTAATGAATTTAGTAATTATATGTAATTTTAATGTTAATTAATTTTAGTTTAATCACTTTAAAAATATTTTTAAAAATGCCATGTTGAATAAATGTTTTTATCAATAAAAATAATATCAAAATATAAATATGTAATATCAATATAAGCTGGTAATCAATAATAATAACCATAATATATTTTGATGTAATATATAAATTAACAAATTGAATACTATACATAATAAAATTAAATCCTGTTGCAAAACTATTAATATTATTAATCTTAAAGATAAAAATAACGTGAAATTGGTAGCTTTTAGGTAAATAAAACTATCATATTCAATATGAATTTTAGATAACACTATGAAATATATGTTTAACTACTTAGTGGGAAGCATCGTGAAGTGAAAGTAAATTGAGTTGTTATGATTGCCATGATTAGTTAGGCAATAACATAATTAAAATTTTCAATTGACTAAAGTTGGCCAACTAAGTAAATTAACTTGTTAAATTCACGTTCAACCATCACAGGCATCCTCATTTTGTCTTTGAAATAACATTAAATCTAATTGAATACAATGTTATACTAGTATTTTGTGTTCATATATCGGTAATCATTTCTGGAATTATGTTATATTTGACGGCACATAGCAGTTGACATTCATTTTATGTAGAATCCATAAAATTTATGTAATTTCACTGACAAAATGAGGATGTCAGTGATGATTAAAAGTAAATTCAACATGCTGATTTACTTGATTGCCCAATTTTAGTCAATTAAAAATTTTTATTATGTTACTGGGTAACTAATCATGACAATCATACCCACTCAATTTTCTTTCACTTCACGATGCTTCCAATTTAATAAAACTACTTTATACTTAATAAAATATTCATTATATTTTATGCAATATACTGTAAAACTTACCGCAAAAGTTGTATAGAAACGAAATACAAAATGACAATTTAGTTTACAGCTGTTAAAATAAAATTTGTTCAAAAATTAATCATGGCAGTAATATTACTAATTAACTGTTTAATACTTTCCAGTTGCATATTTCACGTAGTCTTATCATTGCCATTTACGGAGTTGAAACAAAAAATTAAAATTGGCATATTTACGGATGATTATTTTGAGCAAGCACGCAATTGCCTTCGCAAGCTTAATGAACCCGTCACCAAATGTGCGGACGCAAAAAGTGTCAATATATCCAGAAAAGACCCTGGTCACTACCCTAAACACTCCACATGTTGTCTGTGGTGGGTTCAAATTGAATGCACCATTAAAATTGATCAGGTAATTCATTCAAAAATATATTACCTGAATTTATTTTATTAAGTAAATTATTTAATTTAATTTAATTTAAACATAATTTATCTAGTTCACTAACAATGAGATATTTTAGCACTAATATAATAAACATTGTTAACTTAATTTATAATTTATTTATTTTGTTTAAATTTTAATTACATTTTAAATATTTATTTGGTTTTTAAACTACAGAGCATTTGTAATTTGACTGAGCAAGATCAATTGAAAACTTTTATCGGCTATTACATAGAGTATTATAATCAAGAGTATTGTCAGGAATATGAATACCACGACAAAGAGTGGAAGTGTTTTAGCAATGGTTGGGTCACTAATACCCCGGACTACTCGCAGTCCACACCTGAATACACTGCCACACGTCGACCACATCCCGATCCGGACGACTCGCACACTATCAACAAAGTTATTGTAAAGGAACTATAATTGTACTAGATTTAGTAAATATAAATTATACTGGCACATCAAATAATATTGTTTCATTAAGTTATTAAATAAGAATGATTTAATAGTTTTTAAAAATAGTTTAGTTTATGTTTAAAAGTATTTTCTTAACGGATTATTATAAGCTTAATAAATATTCGGATTATTTATAAAATATTTATTAACTTAATACTATAATAATAAAATAATTCCTTTGTTGAAAACAAATGCAATTAATGGTGTAATATAAAAGTGAAGTTGATAACTTTTAGGATGCAATACTAAGAAATATATATATGATTTATTATCCATAAACATACTAATAAATAAATTTATTAAACTATTTCATTACATAATATATTTAATAATTTTTAATACCTTAACAGAATGATAACTATTATACTAGTATATTATTTAGTATAGATAATACTTTTAAACTAATACATTATAACAAAATATATTATAGATTAATTACACGAGTTATACAATAAACTATTTCAATCAACCTTTAAAAATTATAGTACCTGCTATCATTTTGAATTAACTAGTACTTAGAATATACACGTATTAATTTTTATTGGCATTAAATTTAGATATTTTTATTATCAATACAGTATTTATATAAGAAACCAATATTATACCTCAATAATAATCCTCGTGATCATAAAATTATGATAACTTATAATTATACCCTGGTAATAAAACATTACTAAATGATAGAAGGATTAAATATAATTTTTAATAATTCTCTACGTGAAATAAATAATCCATTATATTACAATTTACAGTATTACATAAAATAAACCATACAGATACTATAGTATATAAAGACATAGAATATTCTTAAAAATCTATTACTATAATTACAATGTATAACAAAAATTATATGTTGTGTTTCTTTGTAATTGAATTATGGTTTATAACTACCGTATATTCCAACCCTAATCCGACCCCTAATAGTAGTGTTCGACCCGCACTGCACTCAGCCGTTGCTTACGGTTGTAGTGACTGTAAGTCTTACGACAATAAGGTCTGTCGAAACGGGCACTGCTATTGTAAACCAAATTATTACGTGAATTACATCGGGAACTGTATTTACCAGAGCTGTAGAAATGATAGCCAGTGCTGGCAAAATAGTGACTACAATACGGTATGTATTGCCGGATCGTGTAAATGTCAGCCCAACTATTACCAAAACAGCCAGTACGCAAAATGCGAATATGCTAGCTGCAAATCTGATGGTCAATGTTGGCAAAATGGTAATTATAATAGCATATGTAATTCAAATGGCGAATGTGTCTGTGAGAAAGGTTTTGTATCTGACTACCTAAATGGCCAAAAGTGTACCAGAGACTATTTGTACACATCGACAAGCCGGAAATATTTGGACAAATACACAACCCGGGACTATAATCCCAAAGGGACAACCCGAGATTCTAATCCCAAACGGACAACCCGGGACTATAATCCCAAACGGACAACCCGGGACTATAATCCCAAACGGACAACCCGGGACTCTAATCCCAAACGGACAACCCGGGACTATAATACCAAACGGACAACCCGGGACTATACCCGGGACGATAATCCCAAACGGACAACCCGGGACTCTAATCCCAAACGGACAACCCGGGACTATTGGGTCGCATCAACACCCCGACCACATCCGGACGACTCTCATGTCGACAAAGTAGTAGTCAATGAGTTAGTGGTTAAAAATCTACGCTTGGCTTTCGGTTCCTTTATATTAGGGGACGGTCGTGTGGACAGGGATGATAATTAACAACTGTTAAAACCCTTTAAAAACGGTCAATACAATAAATAATATTTTATTGTAGCAAAAAAATTTTAATGTTTAATTTGATGCTAACATTATTAAAAATAATTTTTAAAATAAATAAAGATTATTTCGGAATATTTAATATTTGCCATTTTTTATTACATAGAATAGTTTAATTAGTTAATCATATTAATAAGCTATTTAATTTTTGAACACAATAAACCCTAAACACTAAATGTATTTATACTACTAAAAATCTTTCCTTAATAAAAATATTACCTGTTTAATATATTTACTTATAAATAAATAATTTATAATGTAATAATATTTAATTTATAAAATAAAAATTATTTTGACAAATTAATTCAATATTATTTTTTGTATTAAAATAAATACAATAAATTTTTCCGTGTTTATTCATATTAAGAAATGCATACAATTAATATTTTATTACTAACTTTTATATAATTTACATACACCTCTGATATATGCAATAACTTTTATTATTAAAATAATATAAATAAACCTAAATGTATTATTTTACTATGTACTACCAAGTTTAAATAGATTCGTACAAAAACTAAAATACATATTTTAATTAAATTACAATTAATATAAAACAGAAAAACAGATTAATATAAAAGATGATATTTTTTGTAACCTGATGATTTATTTTAAGTAATTATAGTTAAAATATTTATATGCATTTTATACCATAATTAAATTTTGCCATGATTTGATTTCAACCAACAAACTTACACCCAGTAATGCATAAATTATAATATATTCTGTTGTTTGTAATTTTTAATTATTTAATTAGAAAACTAAATATAATAATTAAATTGATAAATCTACTAGTACAATCAGAACATATTGACGTCAATCGATAACAATAGTAACTATTACTTGAAATAAGGTTGCTAATANTAACTATTACTTGAAATAAGGTTGCTAATATCAAATTGCTTAATCCTTAACATACAATTTTTATAGTAAATCAATTTAACGTAAAATTATTATCTATTGCAGAATACTAAAGAAATCTTATAATTGCACTATAAAAGGAACTGGACACATATCATAAAAGCAATTCAAGAGAAATATATAATACTCTACGAAAATTAACTATGAAGTTTATAATTTTATTTAGCATTTCATGTTTATTTATCATAAACACCGGACATGTAATGACAAAACATGTTGATACAAATGAACATGTATCTATCAATCCTGGTCCAATAAGCTACGACTGTCGTGATTGCAATTCAACCGACAATAAAGTTTGTAAAGGTACACCAAAATATTGTTATTGCATGCTAAACTACTACTATGATGAGCATAATGGCACATGCACATATGAATCGTGTACGAGTGATTACCAGTGTGGCCGAAATGGTGACCTCAATACCGTGTGTATGGATGGTGTTTGTCAGTGTGCAGCTAACTATTATAAAGAAAGCAAGCTACAATGCGACCTCTATGCCCATTGCGATAATGATAGCAAATGCCGGCTAAATGGGGACAAACATCGCCAATGCAGGACTACGTGGTGTTACTGCGAGAAAGGATACTATGAGGATGAAAATAACGGTAAAAAATGTACCAAGGTCTCTCCTAACTCATCTACCCTTATACCTCATGGAGATAGAGATTAATAGTGGCCATGTTGTTGTTTATTAAGCAGTGGTTAAAAGCCTCATATTATTAGATAACACTATCCTAAATATAATGTGTAATTAATAAAAGTTTTTTATATTATGTTAAAATTACAATTAATCAATAAAAAATCTTCCATGAAAACAATCTTATCATATAATAAATATTTAAAACTTAAATAGCATTTCTCGTATTTATACCAAAAAGTGTAAAATTAAAATTAAATTAGAAAACAGAAATAATTTTAATATAAGCATACAGTTTGTTCAAATAAATTGTTTTTGTAAATATATTTTGTATTAACTTCGGTGATAAAATAAAAATACCAATTCTGCATAGTTAACTTTTAGCAAGCAAATTTACAAATTAAAAATCACTGTTTTGCAGAAAACACGGTTTGCCTCCACTTATACAACCCTTTATTCAGACCGACCGCCCAGTCGTAGAAAACCGAGTGTTTGAAGGGCTGGTCATCCCCTAAGGCGTCGGCCGCCAGGAAAGGCCAGTGAGGGTTATTGACAAACGCCCGGCCGATCAACACAAACGCCGCACCGGTAGTCTCCAAGATCTTCTCAGCTTCCAGGGGGTCCACTATCTTACCCACGGCTACGGTTGCTAAACCCGTTTCCCTGCGTATAGTACCAGCGCTCTCGACATGTACGCCCTCTTTAGGGTTTAAGGGATTATAGGGGGCGTTGTGAATGATATCACCGGAACTACAGTCCAGAAAATCGATGCCAATTTGTTTCAACTGTTTGGCAAACTCTATGGTTTGCTGTAAATCCCATCCGTTGTCACAGTAGTCGGTGACCGACACCCGGACCCCCAATACGATGTCGTCCGGGAGGGCGTTGCGGACACTCCGGGCGACTGACAGACCAAAACGCATGCGATTTTCAAGACTACCCCCGAAGTCGTCCAAACGGTGATTAGTTATGGGCGATAGGAATGAGCTGATGAGATACCCGTGCCCGAAGTGCAACTCTATCACCTAGATCATTGGTATAATTTATAATTGTATAGTAATTATTTACTTTTAAAAAATAAATTATGGTTTACGACTTGTTCAATATTTGCAATAATATTTTTAAAAATATGTTGTATTCTCTAACAAATAAAATTACGGTATAAGTGAAGCTCTCATTAATACTGTGCTTAGATTTTTCCTATTAAATGATAAACTAAATTTTAACTAAATTACCACTCTATATCACATATTTAATACACAATTAACTTACTTGTTAGTTGACATTAATTTTAAAGTATTAATTTGTGAATTTATTTTTTCAGATTTTTTAAAAATATAGTGCAAGTTTTAAAAAACAAAATCTGAAAAAATATTGAAATGCTTTTTGATAAACTGTAAAAATATAATAATATTCCCAAAAATTTAATATGTTTTTAAAGTTTAAAAGAATCTTGGTGAATAAACCATAAGATATTATTATTTAAGTTTTTGACATAATTGTCATTTATATAATTATATATTATTTTCACATTAGCATATAAAAATATATTATATAAAGTAATTAATTGTCGTTAATTATCTATTACACATATTAATATGTTTAATTTGTAATTCACTTACCCTGGCCCTTTCTTTGTTATACATATTAGATACTAATTATTAAAAATATTTCAAAATTAATGATTACCTGAAAGCCAGCCCTCACTGACCGGAGCGCCGCCGACACGAACGCCTCCCTCACCCGAATCAACACCATTTCCGTCGCCTGTTTTGGTAGTGTAGCGCCGGGACAGTAGGGTATGGCCGACGCTGACACAGTTTCCAAGCCCTCCCAGGTCTCCATGTGCCCGAACAGCCAGCCCGCTTTGGGCCCACTGTGTACTAACTGAATGCCGGCCACCGAGCCCTGGGATCTCACAAACCTAGCGATCCTGGCCATGGACTCCATGTGCTCATCCCTCCACATACCGGGGCTACGATTGGATATGCGACCCATGGGCTCCACACCCGTGCCCTCCATCATGACGAGTCCGGCACCGCCACTGGCATAGGAGCCGGCGCTCATCAGATGCCAGTCCCCCACAAAGCCCTGGTTATCGGCCTTGAGTTGAGTCATGGGAGACACACCGATCCGGTTCTTAAATGTCTGGCCCCTTATTGTCAACGGAGACAATAGTATGGACTTTCCAGTAGTAAGTGTTTCACTCATTATAAGCACCGGTAGATTAGGTTTGATTTAGTTTATAATTTTTTAATTGTATTAAAGTAAGTGTTTAGTAAATATGAATAATTATTTTGTGAAGTATAATGCTTACTTAAATATATATATTTATTTAATAGGACATATAATATTCATGACTCATGTGTTTAAAATTATTTTATTTTATTTGCATTTAATTGCAAAATCATTTATTTATTTTATAGCTATTTTAAACAATCATTGTATAATAATATCCGCCTCATAAACAACATGATTTAATAAAATTTAAAACCAAATATATTCTTCTAATTCATAATTGCATTTAAACATAAAATTAAAGTTTTATTAGTAATAATTGATTAGAAAATCAGAAAATAATGATAAAGTAATGTACTAGTTGCTTTATTAGACTCAACATGCACTCGAGTTATTGATAAACTTATAACATAATACTACAGTATATACATAATTTTCCCTTTAAATTCCTTACAGAATTCTAATCCCTTATTCCTACTGTATGTCACGTATAGTACTAATCTTACATAAGCCTACCTTCTCCTTAGCTAATGCCGAACGGCATACCATTCCCCTTACAGGCCGGACTGGAGGGTATAAATAGGAGTCCCCAGTCCCCCACTTGAGACAGTAGCCCTACAGTCCTCTCAATTTTGACTTGACTTCAGCACTGGCTGAGAGTCAGTGCAAGTCTTAACTATAATACTGTTCCCTAAAGTTAACCCTCTTTTGAGACCACACTTTATGTAATACTTATTTTGTATGAGTTTTCGTACCAATAAATAGTTTTGCATTCAATTTATTAACTATTATTATCAACTAAACAACGTTAAACCCCTTACCACTGGTGGACACCTTTGGTTGAGTATTGATCGGCAATTGCCGAACGAGTACTCCGCAGATCGGCCTAACCCCCAGGTCAGGTAAGCGCCCCTTAGGGTTAATAATTATATTCTTAAGGAATATTCTCAGCTACCTTTTAGCAAAATAAAGCTAAAATACTGTCATATTATACAGTAGGTAAGGTAATATGTATCAGATAATAACAAATTAATTAAATCATCCTTGAAGGAACAACAAGCAAGTGTAGAATAATTATCAAATTATCATCAGGTAACTATTAACAATATTCGAACTATTTTCAAAATATATGATAAATTCTTTTATTGAAACAAATATCTATTTATAATACCTTCAATTCTTTTAATATTATTTTTCAAGGTTAATAATTAAGTATAAATACAACCACAAATTTTATAAAAATTAAATTATTTAATTAATATAACAATAATATTAATTAAAATCCAATAATTTAACAATGTTGCCCTTTGTATTGATATACATATTTGCACTGGCTCACTTGGCAGACCAAACTCCGACTACATTATCTGTGGCAAACATTCTGCTAATAAAATCCAATGACCCAGATAAAGATTTGCTAAATGACCCATGTGCCCAAAAAAGTTTTCCCGATGTAAACCAATGCTTTCACGAGTCGGCACCGGTAGCCAACAGTCTGGAAGATGTCAAATACTGGTGCTGTCTGTTATGGAAAGCACGCGATTGTTATGAAACTTCCGGGAAAGTTAGTATTATTAAAATTTTAAATTATCAAGTTTACTCAATTTAAAATATCTAAAAAAATATTTTTTTATCATTCAATAGACTGACTGTACATCCGATGAGTTCTCAAAATTAAGCAAAATATTGAACGATTTGGTGGTGTTTTATGACTCCGACAAATGCAAACTATACCCTTATAAGCAGGGTAATAGGACTTGCGAGCCATCGGGTTATTAATCAGTGTATATTCTTAAAATAATTTAAATATTGATAAGCTACACGATTATATTTTAAATCAAATAAATAAATAAATAAAATTGTTATAAATATAATATTAATTTTCATTATTAACGTTTACATCTGAATCATTTTAGTCTAGACCAGAATTTATTGTACAATTATTATTTAACAAAATCTTAAGTTTAAATTTTATATTAAATTAAATCTATTATTAATGTATTGCCTAACAATGAGGATTCCTACTTATTAATCATTTATGGTGATTTTTCGCACTACCTGGGCATTAGACTATATTTTAATTTTGGACTTTGTTTATTAATTGCCCTGTGTCACAAGTTATTCATTGTTACAATTTCAAAATGGGTTTAAAACCAACATATTTATTGCTTTTTAAAATGATGGCCGGGTGTGTCAGACCACAAAGGATTGGACTCACAAATGTTAGAGACATACAGTATATGCCTTGGTTAATAAGGCTAAATTGTTGTTTATATTTTTGAAATATAATAATCAAATAATTTCTCCATTGGTCAGTTGTGTTTTACAATTAGTACCTTACTTAATTTTTAGAAATTTATATGAGATAATATTTTATGGTATATAATAGTTTATGTATTTTACCAGTTTACTTATTTATATCTACTATGCTATTATTTAAATATTAAAATTAAATCTATAATTAACGCGTCAAAGATATAAACAACTTGTTAAGACTTATTAACAACATAAGTAATGAGATTGCTGAATATGATATTAATTATTGTGTATTTTGGTTCACATTTGGTGGCATACCTATTGTATTATTATTATATATTAGTATTATATGTAATTTTATTCATTAAACAATCATTAATTGAGAAAATTACTACCATTTATCTGTTTATATTGGTTACAACCGCTTTTCATTTTATTATAATTACTGTGGCATCGGTTCAATATATAAGAATCCTCAATAAGTATCGAAAGCAAAGATTGTTTAATACCTCGCTTATTACTTGTAGCTAAAATCTATACTTTGGCACACTTAAAGTTCATTATGAGGTAGCCATGATAAAACAAGAATATTCTGTATTGCACCCGGAATATTCTGTTATATTGGATGATATGCTGGACCCATAGTCAGCACAAAGATTACTATTGTTACAATGATATGGAGTAAGGGTCTGGTAGAGGGAATACTATATTTTAAAAATATCATAAAATAATTAAAAATATATCACATGCTTGCTTACAGTTGAACTTTGATCTTGGTCAATTTTGCCATAGAGTTCCATATGTTTGGTATCTAAAATAACATATTTGAAAATGTTTTATGCCTATAACATGCGCTCATAAATTCTAATAGGGATAGAACAAAAAACATTTAAAAACGTCCAAGTTAAAAGCATTTTAGAAATTATTTTATAAAATTC